CTCCTGTAGCTCACAGCTGGGCGTGGAGGACTGAAGCCCCTGAGGACTGTGCTCTCCTGGAGTCAGAGCACCACAGCTCATCGCTGCTTCATCACAGCCTCTCTGTTCAGTTTCTTTCTCTCCTCTCCATGAGCTCCCGGGCTGCCTCACCTCTCAAGTCAATGACACGCAGCAATTAAAGAGCACAGGTCCCTGAGTGTCACGAATCTCCCTCACGCAGGCAAGCGCTCCCGCATTCCAATGAGCTCTCCACATACTAAATGTGCACTGACTAACACAGGTCACAATGTCAGGGTGGCAACCCGAGACCGCAGATCAGGATGGGGAAACATGGGACAGTCACACACACACTCGCATAACAAGTACACAAACCTCTGTCCTTCCCCCCAAGTCCCAGGAGTTAACGATGGCCCTGATCATCTCCCCACTATCCCCGACAGGTTCTCACCTATCCCATCATGCACTCCTGGGGCTTACATCACCAGTCCCATTACTTGTCTGCTCATGTCCCCATCACTGCCTAATGAGGGCGCTACACTAGCTTCCTAAATGTGTGAGGTATATATTTCCTCTACTGTGAATTCCAGACCGCTGATTGCAAGAGAAAGACTTTGAAAAGCGCACGGACATAGCAACCTGCCACTTGTGGATTTTAAATCATATATTTGACTAAATGTTGAACAGTGTTTTCACTAAGAGACATTTGTGGTGGTCTCCACGCTAACTTGCTTTGAGCTGCACTGTACAAGTGAAGGCTGTGCACAGCGGGAGATGTTTGTCAGTCATGATGCTGCCAAACACATTCTCCTGGTCATGAAATGGAAGAATGAAAAGATGAGAAAACTATATGAAGAAATATACATTTATTTTTCCCTGCAGGAATGATGTGGTTTACAATGAAAGCATTTATCACTGAGAGGCTGTGCACAGGGAATGGCATTTCTCAATGATGATACTCCTGAATACATGTACTTCTGCTCAGGATATTGCAGGATGTATTTTCCAGCAGAATATGACATAATCTTTACATTGTGTTGAATGAAGTTATTTTCCCTGGTAACCCTGGCACCAGAGTAATTTAGCTATTGCAATATCATTATCCTGATCTTGATATGACAGTTGATATCTCATATCATATCATGACATATATACATATTGTATATAGTCATACCTGGGCTGGGAGTTGCTCTAAACTGGTGGTTGCTATGAGCAACAGCAGCATTCGCATGAGTGCTAGTCCTCCAGCCGAGCCTGTGAGAACGAGATTGGGCCATTTGTCTGTTCATCCAGCTGCCGTGAAATCTGGCAGCCAATCTATTAATCAAGCCTCTAATTAACACCCACATAAAGACTTGACTCACAGCTTATTTGGGGCTCTGACACTGAGCTACTGATCAGCTCCATGTCTGTCCTAATCAGGAGCGGACCTCTGTCAAGCACCGCTTTAACCATGAGTCTCCCCTGCTTCAGTGCCCGAGCAGCCTGGCTGTAGGGGAGAGGAAGACCCAGACACTTCAGCTGCTGTCAGACCCATCTGCTTGCAACCCAGTGCAAGCACGCTTTTAATCTGACAGCCAGCCTGCCTGAAATACCCCAGACAGACCTTTCTACTCCTGCACTTGCTAAATTTGACTCTCCCCAAAAGACCTCAGAGATACACGAAGCCCTGGGCTTGGATATCGAGTTGCTATTTAGCCTGCTGCACTGTAGGCTCTCATAGTATGTACCATGATCACAATCTATGGCATGAATACTTTAATATAGCAATGATATCCCTTTTTAAAAAGACTGCCATTCTGGACAGAGCTTGGCAATTGAAATGACTTGTCGACATTGGAAAGCCAATTAGTAAATGCAGTCTGTCGACACAGTTCATTATTTACTCAAAGGGTGCTTATAGCTGGACTTGACAAAACATTTTTGTTCTGAAAATAGGAACCATGGAGCAATGCAGTGTGGTTAACGTACAACAACTGCAGAGCACACTCACAAACAGTGCCAAAGGGCACTGGGACCATTCAGCAGGTGTGAGATGCATGCAAGTCATTATGAATACAGAAGATGTACCCAGTAATAACATACAGTAGTCGATTGTGTGTGCTCTCACTGTACTTAGAACATGGTCACCATGTGAATTTCTCAGATTGGTCCAGAGTTTACAGATATTTCACCAGGTATAGAAATTTCATGAGTCCCAAGAACCTGTAACCAGCTCAATAAATCCATACACACCAATCATAACATGAAAATGAGCCCTTTAACATGTTTTTTTATATGAATCAAGCAATATACACCCTACATATACATCTGTCTTGTAAAATGTGCAGCTTGATGAAGTACATTTATAATACAGTATGTCTTCCATTTATATCTATTTTGAAGTCTTTCGGTATTTTAAATAAAAAGTCCAACTCAATCAACCCATCCTTGGAGACTTATAAACTGCACACATCTGGTTTCAGTATTGTTAGTTGAATGGGACAAACATAATTTGAGGAAGAGCTGCTTCAGCTGGTGTTGATAACAAGTAATGTTGCAAAAATAAGTTAGTATGATAACAATAATGCAGTAAGTTCTGAACTGAACCTCCTTTGTAGAACAACTAATGAAAAATTAAAAAACAACAACTGTGACAGTGTTAAATTATTAACCCTGAGCTCCTCAAAACAAACAGTACCTTCAGTTCTTAGGAGCTGCTCTCCCCATAAGGGCTTTCTTGGTGTTTTTCTCTGGATGAAGAAGAATGATGTAACATTTTGGGGCAAATATAGCGAAAAGGAGACCAAAGCTTGAAGCCAAGATGGCAAAAATCTCCACAGCATCCGAATATTTCCCAGGAGAGCTGACATAAGCTGGTATGAAAGCGATCCAAACTGCACAGAAGATGAGCATGCTGAAAGTGATGAACTTGGCTTCATTGAAGTTGTCAGGCAGGTTCCTTGCAAGGAAAGCCAGCAGAAAACAGACACTGGCGAGCAAGCCTATGTACCCCAGCAGGAAACTAAATCCAGTTATTGAGCCAACATTACACTCAAAAATAATTTTTGAGTTTTGATACTGTGTATTTTTAAAAGGCACAGGGGATGCTGTACTCAGCCATATGATACAGATCAGAGCCTGGATGACAGTAAAGACAAAAACAGTGCCTCTCTGTTGTGCAGCACCAAACCACTTCATGACATTATTGTCTGGCAGTGTGGCTCTGAAGGCCATGATGACAACAATGGTTTTCACAAGAATGCAAGATATGCACAAAACAAAACTGATTCCAAAAACAACATGTCTCAGCATACAGGTGAGGTGTAGTGGCTGACCAATAAACAGCAATGAGCAGAGGAAGCAGAGTATTAGAGAAAGCAGCAGCAGGAAGCTCAGTTCAGAATTGTTGGCTCTTACAACTGGGGTGTTCCTGTAGTAAATGAACACAGCTAAAACTGAAGCTGAAATAAATGCCCCAAATACAGATACGGTTGTCAAAGAAATTCCTAAAGTCTCCCCATATGAAAGAAACTCAATTTCCTTCAGCACACACTGGTCTCTGCTTGGGTTTGACCAATATTCTTGGGGGCATTTGAAACATATAATGGAATCTGTAAGAAAAAGAAACATTCATTCTGTTTTAATACCACAGATGTAATAACAATAGATTTGTATTTAAAGAGAAATGCACCTTACATACAGTACCAAAAGAACATTCATAAAGGCTGCTGACTGACTAGTGAGAGAGTTGTTAAAACAAAGCAAATTGTGTAAATAAAATAATGTTGGACAATTATCTAAAAAACTATCAAATAATTATTACCTTTGGGGATAACATAGGGTCCAGTTAAGTTTAAAGCATTTTCTTTTGTGTATGTTTTGCTATATTCATAATCAAAGGGTTGTTTGTTAAGGCAGATGACATGACAGATGAATTAATGTGCTGCCAAAGTACAAACAATTAACAGTAAAATCATATTAAATGACATAAGCAAACGATACATAAATTATTAGTTTGAGACAGGCCCACTGTCTGTTCCTTAGGCTGTAACAGGAGATCACATATTGGACTGCAGCTCTGTTGACTTTCATCTCCCCTCCCAAAGTAGATTAGGGAACTATTCTGATTCTGGTATTGTGCGAATTCTGAGATTAAATTTGATATTTTAGGGAAGAATATTTGTCTAATCCCTGAGTATTTCTTGCAGTGCAGAAGAAACTACACCACTGAATCTGTTTCTCCCTGTCCTACAGTATATGAGCAAACAGTTGTGCCTGTGTCGCCCTGTTTCTATAGCCAGGCTGTAGTCACTTTTCTCTGTCTGTTTCTCTTTGCTGTCTTATAGGTTACATTGCATATAGCCAATAGTCCAGGCTCTCAGGAGACTACTTCCCTTATGTTAAAGTTTAATGGAATTTACAGGACAAAACAACAATAAACCTGAATGGTATAATCAGCAACCCAGGAGAATATGTAGGGAAAGGCAGAGAGGAAGATAAACTTCAAATCACCAATGTTTCTCTTTGTATGAATATACAACATACTGTCTACTGTATGTAAAGTTTGTTATCAGTCACAATACTGTACATTCTAGCTCACAGTTCTGCTGAAATAGTGGAACATATCTTGTATTGTCTGAGGAGAGAAAATGGCAAAAGAAAGAAAGATAAAACAAATTAAAAAACACAACTGAATTAATAAAAATGCTCTTTCAATTTCAATTAATAATGTGCTAAAAATTATTTACGTTCAAATGAGAGAGGCATGTGAGGACAAAAATGTTTTTGGTTAATTTTTCTCCCTGATGTTCTCTGAGGATCTTGAGAAAGTATGGATTGTTTTATTTTTAGAAATATGCACAAGCCAACTGACATAGTGAATGTAGTGTTTAAAGGAAATGATTCTCTGTACTTTTAGCATAGAACATAAATAAACATTGGTTTAAATTAGGACACTCTTCCCACCTGTGTGGTTGCTGATCTCTCCCTCTGCACAAGGCACACAGTCGAAACAGCAGAGGGGCTCCCCTTTCCTGGTTGCCTTCCTGGTGCCAGGCTGACAGCTTTCACTGCACACAGACCTGGGGGGCTGGGGAAGGAAGCATACATTTCTTAATTTAAAAGATGAAAAACGAAGGATTGTTTACAATCTGGGAAACTAGAAAAGACAGCAGCACATTCAGATGAAGACGTGTAAATCAAGAAAGGATTCATGCAAAATCTTCTTTACCAACAACAGTGATTTTAGTGCGTAATTGTATCAATTAATTCTTTGAACCCCAATTCTTGAAAAATGATTGATCATACTGTTTTGTTTCATATTATCATTTTTTAACATGAATGAGGGACATAGTTCTAAGACAATGAAAAGGGAATGTTAAATTAGAGAAGAATTTGAGATGTTAAACTGTTCTTTGGGGGGAGGTGAAATTGCAATGTAGCACTTCTGCTTTTATGACTGCTGACAGCTCTCAACCTCATGGTCACTAAAACATCAAGTGTGCTATCCCTTTATATTCATCGCATTGTTGTGTTAATTAGAATTTGACTGAGCTGTTGAAATGAGAATTAGTTTGGAATTTCTCCCCGAATATTGAAAATGATGTAACTGCAGGGTGGATTATAGAATACAAGTGGTTTATATAGCTTACACTGTCAGATTCAAAGTTCCAGAAGATCTTGTCTTCATTCAGAGTGAGCTCTTGTCCAGCAGGAGCTGATTCATCAAACAGACCGATTGTTACTGTTTTCACAGCCCCGTCATCGGCCCTCTGCCAGTTCATCACATCATAGATTGCAAGAGCATCTCCGTTCTCATCGAAGGACACCCTGTCTCCATAGTGAGTAGTGAAGTTCACTCTCGCCACGTAGTGCAGCAGCTGGGAGAAATATAAACTAATTATTTAGTAATGAAATTAATTAATAATGGGTCAATGAGTTTCTGCAGTTCTTTACTGATTAAAACTTGTCCACACTGGAAAAGAGCTAATGTTTTCATATTAAAAAGTAGTTACTGTACAACTAATTAAAAAACATGAATACTGTATATGTTAGACTGGCATATTTCATGCTATATATATATATGTTTGCATATATGATTATAAGTAATTTAGACACATCTGAAACATTTTCTGCAGTTTTAAAACATTTTTTTTGTAGGTATGCAGTATATCTCACCTGCCAGGGCTGCACAGTTGTGATGTCTGCACAGGAGTTATTCTGAAAGGGCCCTTTTCCAGGCTCACAGGACATCAGATTGTGCAGGGAGTGTGCCAAGGCGTACACTGCTTTATACACGTTGTAGGAAGCCCGCAGTTCTGAAACATCACTGTAAGCAGTTTTGCTTTTTTCAATGTCTTCTGATCCTGTGCAAATTTTGCTATTCAAAACGTCTGACAAATTCTGATTGTTTGTATTTTCTTGAAATTTGCAATCGAACATTGTTTCCCAGAACATATTAACTAAATTATTTTCGGTGTCAAATACAGGGCGAATCTGAAGGAGAAATTGTTCCAGCCCTGGGATTTCTCCTCTGCGAACTGCGATTCCTATAGTCCCACCTAAATAAGGCAGTAACTCCTTAGTATGGAAGACAGGGGAGGAAGCCCAGGCTTCACTAGCAATCCACTGCCTGCCTCTGATTTTTTGCTGAACAATTTCTTCTGTCAGTGGAATCAGATAAGCTCCTGTAGAAAACACAGCAATAACTTTGGCCGATGACTCTTTGATGGTCCTGATGATTTTAAGAATTTCAGAGGTGTTGTTGTTACGAGGGAGGATTTCCGAGAAAGCTATGCAGCCAAATTTATTTACCTCCTCAGTAAAGATCTTCAAAGCATACAGCCCATAGTCATCATTGCTCACAACTACACCAATCCAAGTCCACCCATAATGCCTGAATATCTGAACCATGGCTTTGACCTGGAACGTATCACTAGGAATAGTCCTGAAGAAAGAGGGGAACTCCTTTCTGTTGCTTAGGCAAGAGCAGGTGGCATAATAACTGACCTGCAAATCAAAGAATAATTGCAATTATTTATGTTTTCAGCATCACCTATTATGCTTTCTTTTTTAAATAAAGAATATAATGAGGACATTTTTAAAAACGTATTTATGCATATTTCTGTTTAGGAAGTACACAAATATTTCAAAGTCTCTTCATCCTATACATAAAAAATCCATTAAACCTATTTCAGATGAAAAAATAAAAATTGATTTTAACATATATAGCCACAACATCTTCGAATAAAACTAATACTTGCACAAAAAAATATATAGTGTAGTTAGAAACAGATCTGTTACTCAATACTCTGTCATCTAATTACTGTACCATTGGGACCCGGAAGAGACCCACTATTCTTGACACAGCGATAGAATTTGTTGACCCAGGATCCCCAACAATGGCTAAGACAGGGGGAGTCCCTGTACAGCTGTAGTCAGTGACAGAATCATCCTCTCCGCTGATCAGAGCTGTCGTTGCCCTAAGAACCACTGCCAGGTTCTCACAGTTGTCATACAGCCTGTATCCCAGTGTGATGTTAGGGAGAAAAGCAGGGTCTCTGTTTATTTCCTCAATAGCAAAAGCCATGCTCTGTGCCAGTTGAAATCCTGTAAAGTCAAAACTGAAACAAGACAGAACAATTAGTGAAATAAAACAAAAGTACTGTCTTCATGCATCATATTACAACAAATGAACAAAAATCATACTGAAAACATACTGGAACTTATTTTGTTCTCATACAGTATGTCACATTGTTTAGAAGACACTATAAATACAATTAGAACGAACTGATTAATTAATTAATATTTCAATTATTTCATAATATAAAACAATAATTTTGCAATGCAAATAAAATATAAAAAGAATTCCGAGCAATATATGATCTTTGTCTGTTTTTACCAATATGCAATATATAATACTTGTACAACTTTTTTTATTTAAAATATTTCTGAATTGTTTTATCTAAATACTGCTCATATGCAGATAATGCTTTAGCTTATAATGTAGTAAATATGCTATTGTTTCAGGAAATGGTTATTTTGTCCCAGTCTTTATACCTACAGTAGGAGCAGTACAATATATTCACTCACCGCTCACATCTCAATTGCTCAGGCTTAGCAGTAAAAGACAGTTCAGGATACACTGTTTTAAAGTTTATTTCAAACATTCCACCCAAAATGATATCCCCTTCTTTATACAGCCCATACAAGTCAAATTCTTCTCTGAGCCTGCATGTGAGCACAATTTCAGTAACTGTTAACCCAACTAACCCCAAAGATACAAAAATAAGCAGACTGAACTGCATTGTTTCAGAAGAAATCAACGTGCTTTGTACAGAGGATAAAAATCGCAGCTATATAGACTATGTCTGACTCCCTGAGGATGACATCATAGTTACACTTTCAGAACTGTGACTGTACTGTATTTCACACATCACACCACCGAGATCATTTTGTCACTCACAAAATACTATTTCAAATTCCACTGAAAATGTGTTTTCTCGAGCTCTTGCTCGGGTAATCATCTGGGAATGCTACCCACACTGTGGCCACAGTAAAAGTTAAGTACCACAGCATCATGTAGTGTAAAAGATTTCTCAGACTGCAGGAAATACACACTTTGCAAAATCTATCTACAGAGGATCAGTAAAGTTTTTTTAAAGGTTTTTGTCTTCAAACACTTACAAACAATTTTAAAAAGCATATCAAAATAAAATAAAATCAATTAAAAATTAGGTGGTGTCGTGTCTGGCTTTAACATTTTTGAACCACAGATACTGAAAGATAGGAACAAATATTTTAAATTCTTTGTTGCATTCAAACATCTTTATAAAGATGCAAAGAGAAGAAGGGAAGGGGCCCCTAGTGGAGATCAGGAACAGCTGTAACACAGACAAGTTGACACAGTAAAGAAGGGGTGTCCTGAGTAACAGAGT